AACATGCAAGCGTACTCGGGAGAGGCCAAAACTAGGCTCCGACGAATAAGACGCAAGAGTGACCGAGTCAGCGACTCGACCATGAAAGAAATCAGCAGCAAAGTAGAACCCATGGGGACGATTGACTACTACGGCAGACTACGACTGAGCAGGCGAGTGAATGAAGAACTAAGGAGAGTGGGACTCGACCACCTCACCACAGAAGAGGCGACGACTCACGCACGAAAGATCAAGTTTGTCAAGGCCTCACGAGCTAGCACATCGAACACCTAAAGACTTAAAGGCATCACACTACAAGGAACGCGGCTGAGCTGACTCCCTGTAGGGGGCACCTCGGTGAACCAGGGACTAGGATCTCGCGCAGACGACACAGGGCGTGCTGCGCCCCGCGCGATCCCTGGCGCAGAGGAGGCTGAGCCGCCGAACTTAGGATGCCTGCAAAGGCTGGCGAAAGCCAGCGACCCACGCCCACAACTCATATCCAGACTACAACAAGCCACCATGCCCCGATAGGCCCCACCACCCCACCCCCAGGCAATGTAGTGCACATGTCTAGTCCGGAGAGGACAGGGGGGGGGGAGGGGGGGTAGGGGATAGCACTGTGCCGAGTATTTTGGATTAAAGCAATTTTTTTTTCAGGGTACTCCCGCGGTTAGAGATCTCCCATATCCCCCCCCTTCGCCCCTCCCCTTCTCTTTCCGAGATTACCGTGCACTATGCACTACGTGTCATAGGTCGGCACTCGGGGGGGGGGGGGGGGGGGGATGCGTGTGTGCTATTCTCGGTTGGGTAGTTAGCGATGGACGCCCATCGAGACGCCCATCGAGGACGCCCAACAGTTTCGATTTTCCTCCTTGGCGCCCTGGGTAGAGCGGGGTCTCCCTTGGAGCCTACCTCGCCCGTCCTGTCTAAGCCCAGGGTTCAGCCTTCCAGTTGAAAATTATCGGACTGGTGAGTTCCATCTCGCTGTCTGTGTGACGCCCCAAGTTTTCGTTGGCAGCGGTGCTACACACACTATGCCTGTTTTCGTTTCCCAGGGGAGGTTGCGAATCTCTTTTTTCTTCTTTTATGGGCTAGCTATTTCACAGTACATGCGAACAAGCTTGGACGCTATCACATCACCATGGCAGGCCATGGGGGCACATGAGCACACCAGCCCTTTCGCTTACCCTGGAGCATTTGGGACAGAATCCTGCCCATCATCTCCTTCGCTGTTCATGGGTGACTCTCGCTGTGTCTCGGTGGAGGAGGAGAGGGGGATACGGGCTGGCTATCTCCCGAGTTTTGCGTGTGAGTGTTTTTTTGCACAGAGTCAGAGAGCACAGGCATGGGGGGTGAAGCACTCTTGGCCGAGCCGCCCGGGAGCGCGCGCGGCGTGCCACGCGCGCCTCGCCTGGTGGAACGGAGCTGTCGCGGGGTGCAGTCAGCCGTGCAGTGAGTGGGCGGCGCGAGCGTGCGTATGTGCTGGGTGTCCAGCAGGTCTGCTGCACAGCCTGCTGGCAGGCTGTGCAGCAGATCTGGTCGGATGGCGGCGCGTGCGCGGCGGCCGCCGCGCGCGGCGTGCCGCCGCGCGCGCCTCGCGCGGTGGAGCTGCGTCGTGCCGGGCGCGGCGCGCTCTGGTAGGGCATGATGCCTGTAGCTGAAGCAGTGTGCAGGCGCCTGGCAAAAGGCGTAGACTGTCAGTGAGGTTCACTGCGGCGCGCGCGTCGCGGCGTGAGTGGTCGTGCGGCTGGCTCTGGTGGTGCGAGAGGCGCGTGGCTGGTGCGGGCGGCTTGGCGCAGCCATGGGGTGCCAGCACAGGGCAGACGTACATGACACAGCTCTGAAATGGCGCTGCGCGTGTTTGCGTGCGCGCGGGGACGTACGCGTGGTTTTCACGCGGTGTGCGTGGAGAAGGGCATGAGAGGCGCCGGCCGCGCGCGGCTCGGCGTGTGCGAGTGCGTGGTTCGTGTGGTTTTCGGTGCCCGAAGGGCGGCTGACCAACTTCGTGCCCTCGCGAAACGAGGTTTACAAGAAAGGTCCTGAGCCGTAGCTAATAACGGGAGGAGATTCAAATGCGTAGAACTACAAGTGAGCGCAGTGGCGGGGGGGGGGGGGGGGACACGCGACTTGCACCGCGAGGAACCATCGTACAAGAGGGGGGTGCAGAGGGGGTACAAAGGGGTACAAAGGGGTGTCTGGGTGGGCCGCGCCGGCAGCCCCTCCAGGAAGAAGAGCACGAAGTCCTTGCGAGAAGACCTGCACGGAAGCATCTCGCGCGTGTACTTCGCCTTGCCCGCCGTGTCGCCAGGCGCAGCGTAGTCCTCGTCGCCGTCCCAGGCTTCTGCGCCCGCAGCTCACAAGTCACATGTCACAAGTGCACACAATGGTCAATGCACATTGACGATTGAGCTAATGGACGTGTATGTGGTATGGGGGGGCGGAAGGCGGCCAAATCGAGCGGCCTTGCGGCGACCGCGCGCGGGGGGCTGCGCTCCAACCGGCCGAGCGCGGGCGCCCCTGAGGCCTGAGCGCCTGAGGTAAGTCCTGGGGTGCACGGACGACTCGTGGTGAGGTAGTACTAGTAGAGAGCAGGGCTCTGCAGAGGCCCACACATGGCGCACGCGCGCGCGCGCGCGCGCCGCCGCACGCGCCGAGCGGGCGGCGGAGAGGCAGAAGGCGGAGCGCCGCGCCAAGGCATTCTGCCACCGCGCCGCGGTCAACGGGGTGGTGGGCGGGATCCCCGGGTCCCGGAGGAAGGAGACCGTGGGTGCGTTCAAGTGGACGGAAGATACGTAAACTATCGGCATCGGAGAGAAACGATTAACTCTAGGGCTGGGACGAGGACAGACACGTCCCCACCTTTGCAGAGGATTTTGAAAAACCGAAGGGGGGGGGGGGGGGGGGGGGCATCGCGGCGCGGAGAGGGCTGGGCACAGCGGCACCGGGCACAGGGGATCTCTCTCGCATAGATAGGATACGCAGGCTGGGCCTCCTATTGGTGCCCCCCCGGATCCCTCGCTCTCGGGCACTATTCATCCGACCACTCATCTGAGGGGCTTCTACGCGAGCGGCCGCGCTGCGGGTCAGGGCTAGTGAGAATGGGCTCGGGCCACTTGCCTGTGCGAGTGTATATCCCCTCAGAAGCCGGACGGAGGCCTCGACCGCCCCTCGCGGCAAGCTCTCCCGCCGCAACCGCCGCGTCGAACTGCTCTCTCAGGCCGAGCGCGCCGCAGAAGAAAGAAAGAAAACAGAGAACCCAAGGGAACGCGCCGCAAAAAGAGAAAGAAAACAAAAAACCCAAGCGCCGCAGACCATTCCCCCGCCCCGGGGTATTTTTCTTCATGCGAATGGACGCCGTCGCCCTTGAAAGGGCGGGCAGTCTGCTCTTCTAGGACTCCTATGCTCGCCGCGTGGTTCACCGTCACCAGCGGATTGTTCGTGGCGCCGTTCCCTCCGCCGCCCGCTCCACCGCTTCCTCCGTACCCGCCTAGTCCTCCGCAACCGCCAATCGCGCCGCCGCCGCCGCTGCGACCACCCTTGCCTCCTAGCACTCCTCCTCGGCCGCCACCGCCCAGTCCTCCGCCGCCGCCGCCGCCAACACCTCCCCCACGTCCACCATCGCCGCCGCCCTTGCCTCCTCCACCGTCGCCGCCCCCACCCTCGCCTCCACTACCGCCGCCGCCTTCACCCTCGCCGCCTCCGCCGTCACCACCGCCCTCGCTGCCGCCCTCGCCGCCGCCCTCACCGCCGCCGCCATCGCCGCCACCGTCGCCTCCGCCCTCACAGCCGCCGCCATCGCCGCCACCGTCGCCTCCCTCGCCGCCGCCCTCTTCGCCGCCGCCCTCTCGGCCGCCCTCTCCGCCGCCCTCTCCTCCACCCCCGCCGCCGCCCTTGCCTCCGTACCCTCCGTGGCATAGTCTCAACGAGAGAGACGCGAAACAGGTCGGAGTCAGCGCCGGCGTCGGCGCACTCGTCGGTGCCGTCCTCGTCGTCGCGCTGGTCTGCTGCGCCTCCCGCGGGAGGCAGTCACTGCCGCTCTTCTCAACTTTCGCAGCCTTCGCAGCCTTCCGCGATGACGAGGACGGCGGCGCCCTCGAGCTCGCTGAGCGACGGCGGCGCGAGGCAGCGCTGGGCATGTTCGGCTCCAGCCTGAGCAGCTTGCCCAGCAGCCCCGCCGCCTCCTCCAGCCTGAGCAGCTTGCCCAGCAGCCCCGCCGCCTCCTCCCCGCCACACAGGGGCGTGTGGACTCGGCTTCACGCATGGATCCGGCTTCATCTGAGGATCCAGCGGACTCCGACTACGCACTACTCGCCAACGTTAATAGAGACCACCGTCTCTCGCACCGTGTCTCGGCTCGCGCCAACGTCAACCTTGTCCGACAACACACCACCGGCGTGGAAGAGCATGCGCGCGGACGCGCTGTCCGAGCTGCGCCAAACCCCGAGCGACCCCTCCAAACCGCCGCTGCGTCCGCGCAGCATGAGTGCCTCCTCGGACCCGGGCTCGGAGTACAGCAGAGTGTCGGACCCGGCGGTGTCTGCGGAGCAGCAACGTCGGGTGCACGAGATTTAGCGCCGCGCGGCGCGCGACGCCGCAGCCCCGCCGCGGGGCACCCCATTACCCCGTTGGCGTTGCGCCACCCCCAGAGCTGGCGAACACGCGTCGTCGGCTCTCTAACGGTCTGTTTGTGCGCTTGATCTCCAGTCCCTCATGAAAGCCATTTCCTCTTCCATGTGCATTTCCCCCCCGCTCTCTCTCCCCCTATCTCTCAGTCTCGCTGCGCTCGACGACCTCGATTCTCTCCGTTCAGGTATATAATAGTTTATGTGTGACCTGTGTGACACCACATTCATCACATAATTGTTAATAATCACGTGCCGGCGCGCGGCGCGCGGCGCGCGGCGCGCGGCGAATTCAATACAGTATATCACTCTCTCTGTTAAGGTTAGTTACATTCATTCATGACGTTGTTTTTTCCTCTTCAAGTGGCTCTTCTCAGTACACAGATTCACCTGTCGTCACGGCGGCGCCTCGCCCGAATCCTTAGGCGGGAGGGCCATGGCAGAGAGCAGGTCCTCGGCAACGAGCTCGGCCCAGATGGCGTAGCCGCGATCGTTTGGGTGCATGCCGTCCCGGCAGAAGATGTCGCGCGTCGGCAGTAGGCGGCCTGCCTGCGCGGAGAACGCGACCCGCTGACCGGCGACAGACATCTCGTGCGCCACGGTGCGCTTCTGCTCCTCCCACATCCCCGCGGCGCGCGCGATGCAGGTGGAGAGCGGCCAGAAGGGCTCGAAGCGCGGCACTCCTGCAGCGAAGCGAGGCGAGGGTCTGCACGGCTCTCGCCACCGCTGGCGTGGAGCAAGCGGGCAGCTAGGCACGCCTTCGACGCTCACGCCGGGCAGCAGCACGGCACACTCGTCCCCCACCGAGGTGCGCACCGCCTCGACCACGCCTCGCAGCCGGCCCGCGAAGGCGTGCGGGTTGAGCTGCGGCTTGGAAGTGCAGGAAAGCAGGACTCCATGTCGTTGAGCCCGCACACAATCACCACCGCGTCCACCCGCTCGCCCTGCGCGCCGCAGCGCGCAACCTGCGGCCGAGGAGCCCGGCGTCGGGGGCGCAGCAAGTGGCGGGCGGACCAGGTGGGAGCGGGCAGCACGCCTCGGACTGCACTTGCGGCATGAGCCGCTCGGTGAGGGTGCCCACGTCCGCCCCTGTCTCGCCGAGGGCGAGCCAGCCCACGTCGACGCCAAGCCGGCCAGAGAGCAGCTCGGCCACACGGCGGGGCAGCGTCGGGCCTTCGCCCGCCTCTGCGTCGCAGCCCACGCCGGTGACGAGCGAATCGCCGAGAAAGATGATGTTGCGCCGGGTGCCGCTGCTGCGCAGGGCCGCGGCCGAGGCAGTGCCCGAAGTTGGGCCAGTGGCGTCCGGCGGGAGCTGGAAGCTCAAGCGCACGTACGCGACCTGGCACGCAACCACGCCAGCCGTGCCGCCCAGGGCGGCGCCAGCAGCGCGAAACGCGGAGCGAAGAAGCTGCCGCGAGCGCAGCATGTACGTACTATCGCCGTGTAGATGCTCTTTGTTTGCAGTCACCTGTTCCGGAATGGCCGGATAACCCTATCCTCCTTTGGCCCAGCCGGAGAGTGCGCGCAGTGTAGAGTGCGCAGTGGTCGAGGTGGAGGCCCCACCTGCGTGAGGTCGCGAAGCAAGCAAGTGCCCCGAGCGAAAAAATAACGCGCGGCACAAATATGCATTCTTGTAAGATGTGCGTATTCTCGTCTCACTGGCTCCGAGTAGAAAAAGAAAGAAAACATGTTCACTGGTGTTTACTAGCTCCGAGTAGAGGGGGCGTTCCGCCGCTAGGGGACACCCAAAGCGCAGAACTAACCCTCGGAGACCCGTGTTTACTTTAAGGCCCTTGCCCTGCGAATGCGCGCCCCCCCCCTAGCTAGGGGTCAGGGCTCTCTAGCCCGTAGCCCGATGCCGATCATCCGGCCCGCTGGATGCGCTTCTCAGCTCACCGGCCCTGGATGTGAGGTTGCCGACTGCACTCCAAGTGCTCCAAGGGACAGCGGAGCTGGGAATAGGACCGCCGCAAGCGGCGTGGCGTGGAGCGGTTGAGCATCCCTCCGGGGGCCCCTCTGCGCCGGGGAGGCGTTGTTGGAGGCTAGGACGCAAGCGTCCGTCGCCCTTTTCAAACTCGGGGCCCACTCCGCTACGCTCCGACCCGAATTTGGAGGGCCTAAAAGTTTAAGGTGTTGCTGCGCAAAAGGGGTCGGACACAGGGCGCAGCTCATGCTATAAGTGCTAGAAGGGGAGCTAGAGAGAACGACTACCCTGTCCCGTTATTGCGTACACCAGCACCACAAAAGCTCTCTCTCTCCTGTCCTCACTCAGAGCACCGCAGAGGGGGGTCACAACTACCGTGTACCGAGTCTCTCGACTAGCTGCCACGTTGCCGACCGAGAGCGGATCTCCTCCTGCTCCGCAAGGAGGGTGGCCAAGGCTAAAATCTTGCCGGAGCCGCCGGGCGTGTTGACGACTTGGAGAAGGTCGCCCTTGTAGGAATCCTACTTGTACTTGTAGAGATGCTCGAGGGGGTGCTTTGTGGGGCGGTGCGCAGCCAGGCCAGCAGTGAGGGGAGGCGCACCCTCACTCTCCTCAATTGCAGAGCTCGTCGGAGGCTGCGGCACGACGGGAGGGTCGCGACAACAGTCCTCGGGCGAGCCGACGCGCATGTCCAACCAGCGCTGGGACTCGTTGTGACGGCAGACGCCGGCTGCCTCTCCAATTTCTTCTGCAGCGTCCTTCTTAGCCCGTGCATGGGCTCGATCCGATTCCGCAGCGTGTCGTCCCCAGCGGCGGTGCTGCGCGGGAGGCGGTCGCAGGCACGCTGGGCTCGATCAGCTTTCCCTAGCACGGATTTGGCGGACGTTCTTGGCTTCAATTTTACGAATGTCTGGGGCTCTGTGTCACAAGCCGACGGTCTTGACGATGCGCCCGTCGGTACCGACACCCCGTCCTCGAGCCAGAGCACTGAGGCGACCGAGGTAGAGGGCGAGAGCAACACCGCGAGGGATGAGGCGCTTGCCACGCTCGAGCTCACACTGATGCCGGCAACGGTTGAGGAGGTGGACGCGCACGTGGTGACCCTGCTCCGCCAGGCCATGAAGGTGCGCTCGGCAATGCGGCGTGAGACCGCGAGCCCGGCGGCTCGAGAGGAGGCGGAGCGCCGCAACCCGCAAGTAGGCCATCACCGGCGCACGCAACGTCCTCCGCGTGAGGGGTTGCGCAACGCGCCGCTCCTTTAGACGTGCCTTCCCCTGCAACGCCCTCCGCTCGCTCTGTCACCCTTTGTGCCTTTTCTTTGTTCATGAGTGTCAGTGCGCCTTAGTCCCTCGCTGCTCGCTCGCGCCCCTGCCTGCCTTAGTGCGGTCCTGGTGTGTCTTTGTTCAATAAATATGTTAGTCCCGAGCTTCAGTCAGTCAGTAGAGTGTTTTGTTCGTATGTGTGTGAGCCACAAAAAGCACGTTTGGGTTATGGTTGCGAGGGGGGGGCGGCTCGCTGTCGCTCGCGCTCGTTCCAAAAGCAACAGTGGTAATGAACTGGAACGCGCGTTTTGCTCCCGACTCGTCAGCGTGCCCCTTCGCCCACCACGGCCGGCTGGTGGGGCTCCCACACTTGCGACATGATCGACGTCAAGCCAATCGCCGCGCCCAAGCCTACCTCGCAGAAGCCGAGCCAGGCCTACGTCGGCGTGACGGAGACGGCATCGCCGCCTGGGCAGCACCTCTCATGCTGCGCGGAGAGGTGCCCGAGCTGCGACGAGTGCTGCTGTGCCAAGCCCTGCTGCAACAGAGGCTGCGACTGCGGCGCGTGCTGCCAAGGATCCTGGAAGATTGGGATGTGCGCCGCTACATTCCCGTGCTGCGCCTTCCACATACGATGGCGTTACCCACCTTCTCGTGCAGTTGCTGCATGGCACTCTCGCCTTGCTGTGTGGCCTTCACGTTTGGTGACGCGCTCGTCGCCGCGGGCATTCCCAAGGGGAGGAAGATGGGGAGGAAGATTTGTTGCTGCGGCTCCATTGCCGCACTACTCTGCGCCTATGAGGCAACTCGCTCGTGCACGCGTTCCACCTCGGAGACACCTCTGACCGCGCCTTCCCTCCCGCACACACAGGCCGAGGAGGCCGAGGACAACGATCCTGCGGGTGCTGCCATAACAATGCTGATGGCCTGTCTGGCGTGCTTTCAGTGCGCGGCGTACGAGAGCACGGCACGAAGCGAACTGATGAAGACGATGGTCGCCTCGCTCCTCAGACCCCTCTGAGCCTTGGTGCAACTCGTGCTGGGCGGTGGTGCTTCAGCTGCTGCGCCATGTGCCAGGCGCGAGAGACCCGACCGTGACCGTGGCGGCCCTCCCCAGACCTGGGCTTAGAGCCCACGACTGGCTGTTAGGGCGTCATGTCGGTCGTCATCTACTCCAAGTCGGACCCCGACCGGGGAGTTCACCTACTGGGTACCCGGTAGCCCCCCCCCCACCCCCCCCCCCCCCACCCACCCACCCACCCACCCACACAACCTCCCGGCCCGGGCCCTGCTTCCAGACCCGACACCGCCAATGGCCACCGGCCCTCCTGTCCTCCTCCGACACTGCAGACCTGGGGCGGGCTCGAGTTTAAGAAGGACGGAGCACCTGTCGAGCCACTCATCGCGAGGTCGCCTTAGCGGCCACCGTGGGTCATCAGTCGTGATGCGGAATTGCACGACGCCCTCCAAGTGCTCCAAGACGCGCAGGGGTTTCTTCGCGCAGCATCAGTGTCGAGCGTGCTCTAACTGGAGACTCGGGGTCCTCCCTCACATGCCCTCACATGCCCTCACATGCCCTCACATACCATCGCATGCCCTCGCATCCCCTCGCACCCCCTCACATGCCCTCGCATCCCCTCACATGCCCTGACACGGCTCACCCTAGATAGTGGGGATGCCCTGGGCCGAAAAGAAAGTCATTGGTCGTGGAAAAGAATTTTACGACAAAGCTCCCTCGCACGTGGAAAAGAAAAAGGCAAGTCGATGTTGCCAACCGTCAAAAGATACAAGACCTCTAAACAACTATGCGCACAGGGCTCCTCCTAACTGGCTCCTAAGCGTAAGCGCGTAAGCCACAATGGACGGACACACGGCGCCTCAGCTGGCTCTCCCCGGGACCAGACGGGGGAGTCGGCACACACACCGGCACATGAACAGGCACCACACGCCCCCCCGATTTCTCGATTTCTTTTTGCGTTGCCGCGCGCGCTCGGCGCGCATGCTGCCGCTCGGCGCCAAGCGCCCTCGCGACCTCGAGCCAGACATCAGCGGCACCTCCAAGCGGCACGCGAACGGCGGCGTGAATCATCTCGCGCTCGCACCGGTGGACAGCACCGTCGTCGCAGGCTCGTGTCCCATCTGTCGCTCGCTTCTGATTCAGAAGTGCATCGGCTGCTCGTCTCGTCCAGCCTCGGGCTCGCCGTGCACGCTCAGCTTTGGCACGACAAAGATACAATCGGCTTTCCACTGGTCGCACCGTTCCTTGACACCGCTGTTGATTGTAGGAGTCTGCGGCTGCGTGTATCATCACCACTGCCTGGGTGAGTGGCACCGCCGGAGCTTCACCTGCCCCCTCCATGAGGTGCAGTGGCAAGAGAGAGCCCCCTGCCACTGCCCGGCGCTCGTCGGCGACGGCCACGGCTGACTCGGCAACGCTCGCGCTGCTACTTGTCGCGCCCGCCTGTCGCTCTGTTTGACGCGCCCGCCTTTCGGTCTCCTCCCGTGGAGCGAGGATACCCTCCGGCCGCAGAGGGACGACGCACTGTGCGCGCCACGGACGCGTGTCTACGTTCTCATGTCCCCATGCTGATGGCGGTTGCCTTGCGGCAAGGCAACCGCCCCCTCCGAGTCCCTTCTGCACTACGCGAAGGTGGTACGAAGGTCGTACGCTTGTTTTGTCCGGTGAGCATGCGACACTAACTGTGCCTCTGAGTCGCCGTTTATTGTGTACAGCAACACCGGGAGGGGGGAGGACGTAAGCGCCTGGGCGCGCTCTGGGTGGACGACTAGCGATGAAGGGCAGACACTCGACTGCGCCGACGGGCGCAAGTCTGCTCTATACGGCTCTAATAATTGGGACTGAATCTCATTAGCTTCGACGCCTCGTGGTGTGGTCGCAGTTTCGAGTTTTTTTCGACATACCAAAAACACCCGTTTGTGGAGAGATTTTGAAACGGTTGTGCGGGGGAGAGGGTCCAGCGCGCAGCGGGGTCACATCGTCGCGGGAATCGCACGGAAGGACTCCCACGAGCCAAAGGCGCCCTGCTTCAGGCAGGGCAGGGGCCAGCCACCGTCGCGGTCGAGGATGCCGTCGAGCAAGCGCCGCGCGGGGAAGTGGATGTTGCCTAGGTCCGCGCAGAGGCCGACGGTGCCGTCGTC